AGGGAGAGTTTTGATGATGACCCAAGGTCTGGACATCCTGCAAGTGCCACCACCGAGGAAAACATGAGGATGAATGACAGGCGATTAACTTTAAAGTAAATAGCCAATGATATTAGAATATCCCTAAGAAAATTGAGAATATGCTACACAATGAACTTGGCATGGCAAAGGTTTCTGCTCGGTGGGTGCCACGTCTTCTGACCTCTGATCAAAAGCGCACCAGGCTGATTGCATCACGGGAAAATCTGACATCCATCTGGTTTCCTTGAACGTTTCCTAAACCAGGATGGGTATTGGGTTCCTCACTTTGAGTCAGAGACAAGGGACAACCCATGAAGTGGAAGCACCCCTCATCACCTGCTCCAAAGAAGGTCAAGTTTGTTTCATCTGAAGGGAAGGTAATGTATTTATTGACTATCTTCAAAATGGTCTCACCATCAATGGAAAATATGCCAATTTGGTGAGGTAGTTACGAAAGGCTGCCAAGAGCAAGCCCCCAGAAAAACTGACAATGTTTCATCAGTACAATGCTCCAGCTTACAAATCATTGGTTTCAATGGCTGCTGTGCGTGAATATGGCTTTGAACTGTTTGATCACCCTCCCTCTTCTACCGATCTGACTTCATCTGACTATCATCTGTTCCCCAACGGGAATCTAAGCACTGCGACACTGGTGGAAGAAGTGTGTGTACCACAAGGACTATGTTGAAAAATAAACCACATTTGATCACATTTCATGAAAATATCTTGATCAGCCTATGAACTTTTTAGCCCATCCTCGTAACAAATATATTTCCCGGGGAAGTGAAATATTGAGTTTCTACCGGCTCCCCTTCGAAATATCTGAAAAACCTGAATAAGTAAAGATATCCCAGGATTAGAAGTAGGAATTTTCTGCAGGAAAACAATATCTTCTAACTGTAGATAAGAATCAACAAAGCTTGGTTATTTTATGAAGTATGGTTGGGGGGGGTGCACTCTCGGTTAATATTAATGATACGTCTTAAATGTTTAAGGGCAGTTTGAAAGAGAGATATGGTCCTCTTAAAAAGTCACAAATTAAACGACACACAGTATTTCAAAAATATGTAACATTAAGACAAGGTGTATCTTTTTATTATCGTTGTTCGAATTTTGTTTTTATAAGCAATCATAAACTTTGGAGTGTTTCTGAGTTGTCAGTCGTCCTTGAACATTAAAAAAAAAGATCCCAAGAAAATGTTAAATCACAATTACTTCTATTTTTAAATTTGTTCTCAGTATCCAGAAAAAACTGTAAAATTCCAATATTGTTCATAGATTGAAAATTATAATTTATGTATTAAAAATGTAGATATGAAAAAAAAACGTTGTTAAATTGAGTCTCATGAAAATCTAATTCTATTCTATAAGATAAATGGAGCATTATTTAACGGTAACGCAGCTTAATCTGCTCTACTTTCAAGTAAAAAAAGTTCATGGTTGTAGCAACAGGAGGCACTAACAACTGCCGTCAAGCGAACATGTAATTAGTGAGAATTTTTGACTAATACATTTTTTCTTTATTTTTCATTTCGTTTTAGCGTTCTCTGCATATTTTTACTTTTAATGATTTACAATGCTGAATCTTTTCTTACCTGCGATAATAGACTTAATTTATATAAAATACAAATCCTAGATTATTTGTCGAAAATATAACCAACGCAATTGCAGAATTTATTTAAATATGGCCGTCATTTTTGGCTGCTACGGATGAACCCATGATTTCATCAGACAAATTAACAAATAGATAACTTCTGATTTATTCACGTTCGTTTTAATAAACGTAATACAATTTTTATTTCATCTCAGTGTGATTAGTTGGTTGGTTGATTTTGTTTAACGGCATATCAACACCTCTATGGGTTATTTAATGCCAAAATCTAAATATTCTGTACATAATTTAATACTTTCCCGGTAAAAGGTTTTTTTTTTCGCCAGATCTTGCCTGTCTCAAATCCTTTTGAGCCGCGAAGGAGACGCTTATGAGAAAGTGGGTGGGCTTCTCCGTCGCGCAAAATCAAATTCACGCAAATGGCCTCGTCAAACCTTCTTTGATTCACAGCCATCTTCGCCACCGCCATTTGGGGGGGGGGGAGAGAGAGAGAAGAGAGAATGACGATCCCGATGATCGAATGCGTGCGGGTGCTGACAAAAAAAAGTTTGTAGATCCTAAAATGTATTGATGTTAATTTCACTACAAATATATATTATTGGTTATTTTTTTTTAATAAAAAATGTATTGCTGGTAATTTTATTACAAAAATGTACTGTTGCTCATTTTACTATAAAAATTGATTTTTGTTTGGGGATTTGCTATTTGTCATAGCTGGAACCCTAATAGGTGCTACCACCTCAGGTCAAGGTGGGCCAGGTTGATTGGTTGGTTTGATTGGTTTTGTTTAGCAGCATATGAAGCTCTATATGTTATTCAATACCGAAATCTAAATATTTTGAACACAATTTTATGCCTTCAACCACAGACAAAATGTGTTGATGTTATTTTTGTTTTAAAATTATATTGTTGGTAATTTTATTACAAATATGTATTTTTAGTAATTATACAATAGAAAAATATATTGCTGGTATTTTTATAATTTCATAGTATTTTATTTTTCTTTGTTTCAATATTTGCCCATAGCTGGGACCCTAACATGTGCTACCACTACGGGTCAGGGTGGACCTTGGAAAAACAGCAATTAAGAGTTGGTTCCACGTTCTTCAAAACATTTAATCTCCTGATTAGAGGTCTTGCTGCTGGGTGTAGTTTATCGTCATATCCAGGACGAATCTCACTTCTGAGTTCGATAGTTTTCTTATATTTAATGAATTATTTTTTCGGTCATTGTATGTAATACAGTCGGAAGCTGAATAAATATGAAAGTAAAATTTAAATACCGCTCCTACAACTGGGATCGCTGAGAAATTGTCATTTTATAGCCGACATTTTTCAATGTTATCGTTTTAGTTACCCACCCCACGTCTAGAAATCGTAACAATTTTTTTCGAAATGATATGGCATTCTTTTCTTTCCATGTACCGTATCCTTTCAGGACGTAGGTGATCATGGCTCTCCACCTCCCTCTATCCCTTGCAGCTTTCAACAAGTTCCTTCCCTCTTCCACCTTCCCTAGACCACGTTCTATCATCCACTTGCTTAAAGCGGCCAGGTATGTCATGCGTTGTTTTCTTTTGTCTCTCTTTCCCTCTATTCGACCCGTGAGTATCGGATTCTCCAGATCCTCTTTCTTCATTATGTGTCCCAGTAACTTTAGCTGCCTCTTTCTGATGTTAAGTATAAGCCTCTTCCTTGTTTGCATCCTCTCTAAGACCTCATCGTTGCTCACACGCTCGGTCCATGATATCCTTAGCATCCTTCTGTAGAACCACACCTCCGTCGCCTCGAGTCTCTTCTTCAGCTTTGAGGAAATCGTCTAACATTCGCTGCCGTAAAGAAGGACAGATGTCACGTAACGGCTGAGTATTCTTGTCTTCGTTACCAAAGAAATCCTCCTGCCTCACAATACTCTGCCCAGCTTTTGGAGTGCGTCCTTGGCCATCCTAATATGTCTACGGATCTCAGTGTTGCATTTATTGTCCTCTGTCAAAACGTTCCCTAGATATTTAAAACTTCCGAGTCTGTTTGAATTTTGTGTTCCCGACCTGCAAATCGCATTTCGGGCTCATCCTTTTTGTGATGACCATGCATTCTGTTTTCTTGTAGTTTATGCTTAGTCCCTTCTTCACACTCTCCGTCGCTATCTTCTGTAGGAGATTTTGTAATTATTCACATATATATTCACTGTATATAATGAACTCTGCTGTTCCTCGTCAAAATATGATATTGCTTTAAACGTTCTGATTTAAATGTATTCACTCTAATAATGTTAATTCGCTGGCATACCACGAAACGAAAATTTGATAACGGCGTATTATTATTATTTTCATTTCTCTTGTATACACATTTCCTTCCGGGTCCCAACTAGAGACCTAAGGTCAGCTTCATGACATTTTCCACTGATCATTTAAAAAGAAAAACATCCCAAGATCACACACATTTTACATAGATAAAGCTCTTGTGTGATGTATGAGCTGTACTTGTGAATACAATTTTGTTGGTATTTCTTTAAGACATGAGCTACCAGGAATCCCTTCATTAAGTCTATTGGAACTTTTTCTAATCAAACCGAGGTCTTCAACTACAACTGGAATTATTGATGCTCTCATGTGCCACATTTTTTTAGATTTCCACTTCAAGATCCTTGAATTTTAATAGTTGTTTGAACATCTTCAAATATACATTACAGTCTGTAGGGACTGCCATGTTAATAAGAAGGCACATTTTGTCTTTGCGGTCTCTTTATCACTATATCTGGGCGATTAGCCTTGATTGTTTTGTCTGTGTGTATTGTGAAGTCGCATAAAATTGTTACGGGTCCTATCTCTGTAACCGAGATCTCGGTGATGTTCATACCAATTTCTTGCAGTTTCCTTCCCGTAAAAGTTGCTTATTTTCCAGTGCAGATACTGACCCCACTCTATCATGCCGAGTTTTATATTCACTTGGTGCTAAGACAGTGAAATCTGATACAAGATGGTCAATTATTTCTGGATATTTATCACAGAATCTGCATTTCGGGTTAACACAATTTTTCAGTGTGTGTGTTTAGTAATTTCTAGTTAGTCATGTGCAGTAAGAATAAAACCTTCAGTTTCAGCTTTTATTCCTGCAATACCTAACCAGTGATGGGTACGGGGTTTGTCGACATCAGTTTGTTTGGTACGGTCAGAATATTAACCATGAAGAAACTTATCTTGTTATCGTTTGTTGTTGTTGTTGCTGTTATTTTATTCCCAGATGTTGTCTGGTGATCCTTTCTGAGGCTTGAAACCCTCCAATTCTCCAACACCTTTCTCAGTGTCCTTCATAAGCCCCGGGCATCGCCGAGGTTTGTTGCCTCACAGCTCCACATCGAATAGATTACGATCATATCACGTTCAAACACCGGTTCTTGTACGATCAGCAATGTTAAGTAAAGTCGAGCCTGGTCAGTATCTAGATGGGTGACAACTTGGTAATACCAGGTGTTGTAAGCTTGGATGTGCGGGTGGTGTAATAAATAACGGCTCTGAATTGGAAATCGGAGATCAGGTTTTGAATTCAGAGTTATCCTTCTATTAGACCAGTTGACATCCAAAGCAATCCCTCTTCCTCTCGCTCCATAGCTGGAGGGAGAGGAAGCGGATTAAAACCTTTCCCGAGGGGATTAGCACGTAAGTGAATGTAATGGATTCGACTGGAATTGAACGCGGCTCTCCGATTCCTCAATCCGTTATCCACTGCTCAACCATGCCTCCTCATTTTTAATGTATATTTTGGACAGCAACCTTTCTTTTAGACACCTTTCATTAAATATGACGGACCAGGAACATTTTTCTAATTTTTTCTATTTAGTTTTTCCAGCGTTCTTAATTTTTTTTTCCGTTTAGTGGGAGTAAAGAAGAACAAAAATAGTATGGATATTTTTGATATTCCCACCAAGGGAAACAATGTAAGAACGCTGGAAAAACTAAATAAAAAATTAATAAATAATTTTATTTGCCTGACATATGAAACGATATATTCAATTATTTATTTAAAAATTATAACATAACTATTAGCATAAATTCTATTTTAATATAACCCCAACTTTAAGGCATTAAATAGTTATTATAACCTTAGTTCGTTGTCAAGTTTTTTTAATTCTCGTATACTTGTATTTTGATTGGTCATTCCAGCTCATGTAACAGCGTTTCCCCTTGCGAGGGGTGGTTAATTAATTTGAACCTTTTAAGACCTTTATTCTACAATCTACATTCAACATCATCACTTGATAAGACACCAAAGGTGTTGAAACAAAATGGCTATTTTTGTAGTGATTTTATAACATATCTATGTTATAATTTCTAAATAAATAATTATATTCGCTCTACTCTATATTGAGCACTCTTTTAAGAATAGTAATTGTTAATTATTGGAATTTATTCCGTATACACCAATCCTATACTTGGGTATATATATATATATATATATATATATATATATATATATATTATGAAATGGACAAAAGTCCGACAATTATTTTAAGACATTTTATGTTTATACATTCTTTTTATATATACAAATATTTAAGTAAATGCTCTGTTTTTATAATAAACAGTATTTATAACATTTATCGGCCTGAATGTCCGGGAAATTTTCATAGTGAGTGTTGAGTTCAATCCTCACTGGGTGCCCCTTACTTTCGGCCTTGTGCCACATCCAATCTACACTTGGAAATCACTATATATATATATATGTATAAGCACATATATGGATATAGATCCGACAGTATGAAGAAAAATATACCGAAAAAACAAACAAAAATCCTAATATGCGTTTAAAAACATTAAAACAGCATAATCGCATATTAGGATTTTTGTTTGTTTCAATATATTCTTCATAATATATATATATATATATGAAGAAAAAATCACAACGAAATTTTATTAAAAACGACTGTAACAAAATCTTTTAAAATATTATATATATATATATATATATATATATATATATATATATATATATAATATTTATCTTTTAAAATATTATATATATATATATATATATATATATATATATATATATATATAATATTTTTAAAAAGATTTTGTTACAGTCGTTTTAAAAAAAATTCGTTACATTGTTATATATATTTATCCAGTTATGTCTTGGTCCTTTGGGCACACTCTTCGATGCTAAGGAGTTCTCCGTAGCTTCTTTCTCTTTCAACATATGATTTGTCTCAATTATCTTTAGGGTGTCAAAATTTGTGCACACGGCCATGAGTTTTCTGTCTAAATACCTACTTTCCACTGTTTGTTTCGAAGTAGACCACTTGGGCTGTTTGTACACTAGCTCATAAATGGTACTTGTGATGACAAAACTTCATGCTGACGACATTCTGTTCACGCACTCCTCTACTCGAAAAACATTTTTGAAAACTCTTCATGAAGGATAAGTTCATCTTAAAGCGTAACAAATTGGACGATACACAGTATTAAGAAGAAATCTAACAGGCATATTTTTTTTTATTGTAGCTGTTCGAATTTAATTTATAAGCAATTTTAAGTGTTTATTAGCATTACTAGTGTCATAAAATAAAACAAAAATCCCCAGAAACGTTAATTCGAATTAAATTTCCTCTTTTTAAATTTGTTCTCAATATTCAGAAAAATTGTAAACTTTCATATTTTGTTCATATTTTGAAAATTATAATTTATGTTTTAAAAATCAGACATGAAAAGAAAAGCATTGTTAAATTGAGTCTATCTCTATTCTATAATGTAAAACAAACATATATTGGTCGCGCAGCCTGATCTCCTCTACTTGCTAATGTGACAATCCATAATTGTAGCAAGCTAACACATCACGCGCTAGTATAAATAAATATCTTACATACTAATTAGTGAGAACGTGTTACTACTATATTTTGTTTTTTTCTTCGACTTATGACCAAATTATGTTGAAATTCTCGTTCGATCACCGAAATTAAGCAACGTCCAGCCTGGTCAGTACCTAGATGGGTGACTGCTTGGGAATACCAGGTGCTGTAAGTTTGGATGTGTGGCTGGTGTAATGAATAACGACTCGGAATGGTAAATCGGAGAGTCGAGTTCGAATTCCAGTTGGATTCGTTTATATTCACTTACGTTCAAGTACGATTGGGAAAGACATGAACCCACTCACTGTCAGCTATGAGTTAATTGGTAGTACTTGTATTATTATTTCCCAAAACTTCTTACAATCTAAAAATATTTTCTGGGTTTAAATAACCTGCAAAAGGTTGGTAAGCCGTAAAAAACAAATCAATCAATTTTTTTCTTTTCGTTTTAGCATTTTTATTTTTTGATATTTTTACTTACAATGATTTACAACGCAGAATCCAGTGATAATAAAATTTAAATTTGTTATCAATATTGAGAAAAACTGTAAAATTCCATTATTGTTCATATCCTGAAAATTATAATTTGTTTTAAAAATTCAAACATAATTCAGACTTAAAAAAAACAAACAGGGATAGTTTAATTGAGTCGTATAAAAATCATTTTCTATTTCGGTAATGTAGAACAAACATTTATCGGTCACGCAGCGTGATTTCCTCTACTTACTAATAAGAAACTCCATAGTTGTAGCAACAAGAGGCACGATTCGATGCCGTCAAGCGAACATGTAAAGCGTTATCATCATAACGAAATATCTCATTCGTAATTCGTGAGAATTTTTGACTAATACATTTTTTTAATTTTTCATTTCGTTTTAGAGTTCTCTGCATATACAATGCAGAATCTTTTCTTACTTTTTAATGATTTACAATGAAGAATCTTTTCTTTGCTGCGATAATGGACTTAAATTATATAAAATACAAATCCTAGATTATTTGCCGAAAATATAACCAACGCAATTGCAGAATTTATTTAAATATGGCCGTCATTTTTGGCTGCTACGGATGAACCCATGATTTCATCAGACAAATTAACAAATAGATAACTTCTGATTTATTCACGTTCGTTTTAATAAACGTAATACAATTTTTATTTCATCTCTCTGTGATTAGTTGGTTGGCTGATTTTGTTTAACGGCATATCAACACATCTTATGGGTTATTTAATGCCAAAATCTAAATATTCTGTACATAATTTAATACTTTCCCGGTAAAAGGTTTTTTTTTTCGCCAGATCTTGCCTGTCTCAAATCCTTTTGAGCCGCGAAGGAGACGCTTATGAGAAAGTGGGTGGGCTTCTCTGTCGCGCAAAATCAAATTTACGCAAATGGCCTCGTCAAACCTTCTTTGATTCACAGCCATCTTCGCCACCGCCATTGGGAGAGAGAGAGAGAGAGATGACGATCCCGATGATCGGATGCCAGCGGATGCCGACAAAAAAAAGTTTGTAGAACCTAAAATGCATAGATGCTAATTTCACTACAAAAATATATATTGTTGGTAATTTATTTATAACAAATGTATGGTGGTAACTTTCCTGAAAATGTATTGTTGATTTTTTAGGAGTGGGGGGTGTTCACTGTTTGCCCATAGCTGGGACCCTAACAGGTGCTACCACTCCGGGTCAAGATGAACCTGGGAACAACAGCAGTTAAAAGGTGTTTCCTCACTCCTCAAAACCTCCAATACCCTGATCAGACGCATTGCTGCCTGATGTAGTTTATCGTCATACCCATGACAAACCTCACTGTGAGTAAAATAAAAGAGGACATTATTCCTGTAGATGTCCTTTTAGGATTGAAATTTAAATGGTGCTTCAGTGTCCCATAGTTATTTCATATTTTCATTTATTTTGAAAGTTTTTAAACTTTTAGATTAAAACACATTACTTTCCTCAATTTTTTATTTTGAGACTTTATTTTTACTTTCTGACCTCATTATAAACAAAAAAAAAAAAGAAAAAAAAAGCTAATTTTCGGATTTAATGGCCATTAAATCGAAAATTAACTTTTTTTTTTTGCTTATCAAATCGAAAGTAAAAAAAAAATCTCAAAAATAAATACTCCGCCTAAAGCTGAAACCTTATAAATGATTTTTATTGCCGACATTTTAAAAAGTCATCATTTAGTTTCATAACAAAATATTTAAAAAAAAAAAAAAAAAAAAAAAAAAAAAAAAAAAAAAAAGTTATATAAAGTATCCTTTAAAAAAAAAAGCCTTTCGGAACCAATATTCAAGATTCTAATTCTGTCTGCAGTGTTTTTCATTTTTATCGGTTTGTATATCTTTGCCTAATTCTTACAAATTATCTAATTTTCAACTTTTTCGACCACAGAGACTAATTCGCGTGCAATTTTCTTCAAAATTGTTTCGATTTATTTGTATTAACAACCCAAATATGGTATTGCTTTAAGCATTCTTATTTAAATTTATTCACTAATTCGCTGACAGACCGCGAAAAGAAAATTTTAAAACGAATAATTCTGTACTCGTTAATGTTTGACAATCGTCGCCCCTAGCAGCTCTCACTGGAGATCAAGTGACACCAAGTCTTTTTAGTACTCCAGCACTCGCAAAGTTATATTATTAATATTATATGACTTTTCACACTCATAGTTTCTGGTAACTCCCTTTAGAAAGCTAGTGCTCCAAAGATGATAGACACGACAGTCACCATGAAGTTCTATAATTTTTCAGTTTTCTGCAAGATCTTGATATTTGTACAGCTTTTCAATTTCTTTTATTCTGCGATTTGTTAGAAATGATGATTTTTTTTTCTGCTACACACCACAGGGTGATAGGTTGTAAGTTCAAAATCTCAAAAAATATATTGTGTTTGTGTTAATTCGCTAACACTGTTTGATTTAAGTATTTGATTTTTTACGACTTATCAACCATTTTAGTGTTATTTAAAGCCGCCGAAACATTATATTTTGCATTATAAGAATAAATTTTTATTTTTGCATTAACAGTGTTTTGAGAATAACAGATACAATTGCTACTATCTAACCCAGAGCTGGGGGAGATTGATACACACCTTTCCCAAAGGTATTTGAGCGTAAGCGAATGTAAGGAACCCTACTGGAATTCGAACTCTGCAATACTCTAAGGCGAATTCTGGTTTGTGCATATACCATTGATCTGTAGGGTCAATTCTCAGTTGTTTGCATAGTTTGCTATGTGTCGCCCTTCCTATCCAATCAGGCTTCTTTTTTTTTCTTTTTTTGATATATACACAGTGCCTGTTTTTGTTATTTTCCTTTGTTTTGTCTATCTCGGCTTTCGTATTATTATTATCATCATTATCATTATTATTTGAATTGACATAGCAGTAATATATTGTGACTCTCACGGTAATCACGTCGTATTAAATTCCCTCATTATTCTAACATTCTCCTCCTCCTCCTCCTCCTCCTCATCATCATCATCATCATTCTCCTTCTTCTTCTTATTATTATTATTATTCATGCATTTACATGTTCATACCAGGGGCCTAGTTTTGCTAAGGACACAGTTAAAGCAAGTCCCCTTAAATCTATAACACCTTTCTCAGTATTTTAGTAACGTCTCAGAAGTATTAGATTGTGTTGTCTGCGGATTACACCACAGCATATCTCACCAATGTTACCACACCATCTTCTGTATCCAATGTTGTTATTATCATTGTTTGTGAATGTTATGTTTTCTGATTTGTATCCTGTAGAGCCGGGTCCAAACTATGGTCCTTAGGCCCTATAGGAGAATTGTCATTTAATTGATAGCACTTTTCTTACTATATGAGATACTCCTTGTAGGGCGATCTTCTGGGAAACTTGTATGCTGATGTTACCTGGGACACTGTTAGTAAAACTGTTCATTCCTTTTCTCACGAGGCCCAGTGCTCCAATTACTATTGGTACAGTCTCAGTCTTCATTCCCCACATTCTGTTAATCTCGATCGCCAGGTGTTTGTATTTGGAAGATTTCTCGATAATTTTCATGGAAGTTTTTTTCTCAGATGGTACTGCTATGTCAATAAGCATACAATTCCTGAATTTCTTATGTTGTATACACATTTCCTTTTATTTTTGTTGCATGCACATTATTATTATTGTTTTTATTTCCTTTCGTTTCTGGTGTATACTCATTTCTTTCCGGGTCCCGACCAGAGACCTAAAGCTAGTAATGGCATCATGACATTTTCCACTGAGCAGTTTTCAAAAAAAACAAATCGCACATATTTTACATAAAGCCCTTCGTAAGGTGTGGGCTGTAATTGTGAGGGCAATTTTTTGGATTTTTTTAAGGCATGGGCTACCAGGGATTCTTTCAATGAGACTATTTGAATCTTTCCAAACAATCCGAGGGCTCCAACTACAACTGGAATTGTTAATGTCCTCACATTTTTTGAGAGACTATTATTATTGTTTTTATTTCCTTTAATTTCTGGCGTGTACATATTTCTTTCCGGGTCCCGCCCAGAAACCTAAGGTTAGAAATGGCATCATGACACTTTCCACTGACAACCCCCCACCCCCCCCAAAAACACATATTTTACATAAATAAAGCCCTTCGTAAAGTGTTGGCGATACTTGTGAGAACAATTTTTTGTATCTCTTTGAGGCATGGACTTCCAGGAATCCCTTCAATTAGTCTACTGGAATCTTTCCCAACCAATCCTAGGGCTCTAACTACAACAGGGATTGTTGATGTTCCCATATGCCACATTTTTGAGATTTCTATTTCAAGGTCCTTGTATTTTGACAGCTTTTTGATATCTTCAAAGATACATTGCAGTCAGCAGGGACTGCCATATCAATAAGGAGGCACTTTTTTTGTCGTCTTTAATAACAATGGGCGGTTGGCTTTGATTGTTCTGTCAGTGTGTATTGTGTAGTCCCATAGAATTGTAACAAGCCCTATCTCCGTAACCGGGTCTGGGTGGTATTCATACCATTTTATTTCAGTTTCCTTCTCGTAGAAGTTGCAAATTTTCCAGTGCAAATATTGGCCCACTCTGTCATGTCGGGTTTTATATTCAGTGGGTGTCAATATCGTGCAACCTGATACAAGATGATCAGTTGTTTCTTGATATTAATATTATTATTATTATTGTTGTTGTTGTTGTTTTAG